GCTACTGGGGTCTGAAAAGCAGGGACAGAGGACAGGATGGAGCCGGAGCCACTTTCCATGAGTCCTGATAGCCTCTGAGCACCAGGGACGTTTCCAGGCCCAGCACTTCTGCCAAATCTGTTCCTTGTCAGCCCCACCTCTGCTGGCATCTGAGCCCAAGGGCTGAGAAACAGTCCTGCCGTCCCACTCCCTGGCCAGCCCTGCTCCCTGGCCAGCTCGCTAAATATAGCTCCCTCTCCCAGACTGCCAGGAGGCCTGCTCGGAATGGCCTCAGTTCCCCTTGCCAAGAGCCAGACAGCTCGTCAGACTCCACCATCAGCACGGGACAGCCGGGAGTGGCTGGGACTGAGGAGCCCAGAGAGCCGAGGCAGCTGGCTTCTGTCATTGGGCTGTAATGACGATCCCATGTGGGGGAAGGCCAGCCCCCCACTACTAATTGCAGGTTCGATAGGCGCAATTGTGCGGTTAAATATCTATATATATTATAATAAAGTCATAGAAAATAAGGAGAGAGAGAAGAGAGATGGAAATAATGGAGTCAGACACATTTCATGGTAGCATGCTCACTTCAGCCCTGCTTGGTGGTCCACGTGGAGATGGGAGACAAGAGGTCAGGAGAGAGGGAGAGGGGAAGGAGGGCAAGGGGAGAAGGAACAGGGGAGCGAGGACCGGTGGGGGTGGGGTTGGTGGGGAGAGGACGGGGGTGGGGAGGGTGAGAGAGCTCTTTATTTCTAACCAAGGCTTATATACCTTTGGTGGGCATACAACCCCCCCCCCCCTCCTTACAGGTAAGGACATACATCACAGGAAGGAGTTGTAATACAGTAATGGGAGGGGGACGATCTAGGGGTATACATGCAATAGGAAGGGGAGGGATTGGGGACACACATGTGACAAGATGGGCAGATCCTAGATTCAGGATAGCAGCCTAACTTTGGATGTCACTGAGCAGGTTTGACCTGTTCTCTGGCTCTCCATGGAAACCATTATCAGTAGGGTGTGAACCCCTCTTACAGTGGACCAGACTGATGTCTGCAAGCCTTCAGGGAGAAGTAATCCATGGTCCTTAACAGCAGGGAATGGGCCACAGGTAGAGCCAGACAGTAGTCTGAAGGCTGAATGCATCTGACCTCCCACCATGTGCTGGCAAATAGCCTCTAATGATTGGCTGTATCTTTGGGGGAGACAAAGCTGGGGGAAAGTCTTTTTATATCCCACAGTCCCAGAGGCCTGCAGCCATGAATTTCTGCCTCCTGCCCCTGAGGCTGGGAGGCAGGCCCTGCCAAGCCAGGACTGAGGGAGTGGAGCCTGGTTGGTGCTCAGCGAGGAGAGCCATGGTGGCCGCCCTAGCACCATCTGGAAAGTGGAACCACTGACCTGGAGTCTCAACTCCACTGCGGACCATCTGGGTGTGGTTGGGCAGGTCCTTTGCCTTAAGTCTCAGCAGTTTCTTTGCCTTAAGCCTCCACCCTCGCTGTGTTGAGGACAGTAGGAGTTACAGTCTTGGCAACCCACAGAGCCCGTCCTGCCCTGTCCTGCGGGGGTGCTGTGCTTCGGAATCGGCTCAAGGGCAGGGAGTTTGCAGTGAGTCAGGTCTCAGGGCCCACACGCTAATAGGCACCAGGCTGGGGACTGGGGTCCAGGCTGGACATGCAGCAGGGTCATGCAGAGGACACCTTGAACCAAGCAACATGTTCTTTGGCCCTGTAAGGTTGGCCAGGGAACACCCAGACCCAGAACACCCAGTGATGCCTCCCCACTTCCCCCCTCCCCTGCAGACTCCCAGCTTTCCACAGCACATGTGGAACCCAGTGTTTCTCAGTTCACAAGGCAGGAGTGCAACCCTGCCCACCCAGGTTCTGTCATGGATGACAAAAAGGGAACCTGAACTTGCCAAAGGTGGGCTGGTCGCTGGGGAGAGACTACTGAACATCCTGCTAGAAAGGTAATGTCCCTCTTACAGACCGAGTGCACGTGTGGTTGCATAGCAACCAGATCTCTTGCCTGACCACAGGGACATAGCTGCCCCGCTTGGAGACAGCAGCTGACCACACTGCCTTGAAGGCGTGTCTCACTCCATAGACCTGGCGGTCTCAGGCTCCGGGTCCCTGGAACGCCTCCTGTGAATGTCCCGTTCTGGGGCTATTGTGCTACGTGACCTAGATCTTTTAAAAATTTTTTTATTGTTAAAATACATCAATTGTATTAAGCATATTTGTACGTATGTTGCTATCATTCTTTTCTAGACATTTTCTATCGAGTCTTTGGTATCAGCTCCTCTTTCCCCACCCTCCCACCCTCGTGATCCCTTGATAGATTAGAAATGATTATTATTTTCATCTCTCACACTGACCGCTGTCTCCCTTCCCCTATGATTTCTGTTGTTCTTCCTTCTGGAGCAGGGTCTGGGTCAATCGTTGCACCCAGTCCCCCTTCCCACTGCCCTCCTGGTATTGCTACTCCCATACCTGTTCCTGGATCCCATGAGTCTCCAGCTCTTATCGCTTATCTGTACCTGTGGACACAGGTGACCTCGATCTTAAACCTCTGGGCCGGTTCCCAATTTGGCTGCATCAGCCATGATGGGACCAGCTTGAACCTGCTTGAAGCCCCACTGGCTGGGCCTCGCTCCCCGTGGTTGCTCAGGATGGAGTGCTCCCCCCAACCTCCCCATAGGACCCGCACTGGGGCACACACCACACTGCCTGAGAGGAGGTATTCTCAGTGCCCGGCTAAGGCGCAGCTCCAGAGCCCACTGCGCTCATGGGCACACGAGGTTGGGGGGAGAGTCCGCTCTACCCTGTACCAGCCAGAGTATCTGGGGGAGCCACTAAGCCTCTCTGAGCCTGTCTCCAGGTGGCAGCACCCACGGTCCTCAAGGACAGAGGAGAAGTGACCCCTTTGGGTTTCCGGGGCTCTAACTCTCAATGAGAGTAGAAAGCCTGGTCATTCTCCCACAGGGTGGTGTGTGGGATATAAAGGGGCTTTTCCCCAGATTGTCTCCCCCAGATATCTGCTTGCTGCACATGGTAAACGACTGTACACTTGGAGGTCAATGCAAGCAGGTCAGAGGTTATTCTCCCTGGGGGTTATTAGCAAGCTAGAGCCATCAGACTGTATAGTCTGCCCCACCCTAAGTAGGGCCCACTCCCTTCTGATAAGGATAGTAGATTGTCTCCCTGAACGAGAGCCCAAAGAAGGTCTAGCCCATTCAAGGATGATCAAGATTAGGCTTCCATCTTGAGTCTGGGGTCCGCCCATCTTGTCACATGTGTACCCATCGCCCCTCCCCTTCCGATTACATGCACACCCAAACTCATCCCCTTCCTGTGACGCATTTATGCCTATTGTACAACCTCTTCCTGTGACATGTAACTTGCACGCCACTAAGTACATACAGTGAACCCTCGTTTATCGCGGTTAATCAGTTCTAGACCCTACCGTGATAAATGAAATTCCGCGAAGTAGGATTCCTTATTTGTAAATCAAATATTTTCATAGTTAGAGCATAGAGGACATGAAAAAACACCCTTTAGTCACCATTACACTCGTATTACCCAATTTATTAAACAAAAAAGGGAAAATACAGTAAAACATTTTGGATGTTACAATTATCATTTTTTATTTATTATATTATTTATGGCATCTAGTTTACAGTATTACATATTTCACATACAGTATTATTATACATAGTTCTTACAAATACTGTAATCAATAGCCTATGAAATGACTTAAGGGATGTACTCTACAGGTGGGTCGCCGTCTTTTTCCTCTGAAGGAGCGGGTGTAGGCAGTGGGTGCTGTTACGCAAAAACCGCGATAGAGTGAAGCCGCGGAAGTCGAAGCGCGAAGTGGCGAGGGTTCACTGTATAGGCCTTGGTCAGAAAGAGCATACGCTCTCTCCTCCCCGCCTCTGTGAGGACCTGGCTGCTGAGATCATGGCTGTCCCGTGTCTGATTCCTTTATTTCACTCTATTCCTATCTTCCATGACTTTACTATGATTTCTATATTATATAGCTGTACAATTGCTCCTACAGACCCCCATGGATGTTAGAGGCTGGTCTACTCTTAACACCCAACCTTGTGCTAACTGCAAGGTTGGTGGGTCAAATCCACCAGCCGATCCCAGGGAGAAAGAGGAGGCTGTCTGCTTCCACCAAACAAGCTCGGAGACCTGACATAGTGTTTCAATGAGTCAACTCACTGGAATGGCACGGGTTTGGGTTTTTTGGGGTTTGCTGCTTGGTGGGGGGTGGGGTGGTGGTCAGTGAGATCCTGTACCACCCTGTCAGCTTAGAGGGTGGCTGCTCCTTCATCTTCTGCCCTGGCTCCCCTGCCTTAGAGCTGCTGCCCCTCGGCCTGCTGACTTGAAGCTCCTCAGGGATGGGCAGATAACTTCACTTCTCCTTCCCACCCTCCTGCCTCCCTTCCTGTGGGCAGAGCTGGAAGCCATGGGGAGATACCTAGGCTGGCATGGGCTGAACCCCTTATGTCAAGCTAGCCACTGCCTTTACTTCACGGCCAGGATCAAAGGAAGCCGCGACCCCAGACTGTCTGTGCTAACTTCAAATCTGACTGCCCTGCCCGGCAGTGGGTACTGCTGGGCACAGACTCCAGCCTTCTCTGGGCCGCCTGGGCACCCCACTAGCACTCTGAGTTAAATCTATTCCATGTAGACTAGCTCTTGAGTAAGCCTGCATTCTCCTGGCCTGGATGTGTAAAACGTGTGGACCTGGGAGAGTTGGATGGCGTGGAAGCCAGGCCTTGCTCTGGGCCCCAGTCAGATGTGCTAGCAGTGAGCCTACCTTTGAGGCTGGTGCCTGTGCAGGACTGAGCAGCGAGGGCTGTCTGTCCCTGAGCCTGTGGGGTCAACGAGAGGGGTGGGTAAGGAGAGGCACTGCCCTGCCAGGGCATCTCATGATCACCTATCGACCTGATGGTCTGCCCTTGAGATGGAAGCAGGGGCCTGAAGTCACCCAGCGTCTCCTCCCACCCCCAGGAGTGCATCATTGATGAGGACTGCGGGCTGGGCAAGTACTGCCAGTTTGCCAGCTTCCAGTACACCTGCCAGCCGTGCCGGGACCAGCAGGCAGTGAGTATGCCCAGGGGCCCGGAAAGGGAAGGGGTGCTCAGCCTGCTTCTTGTAGCCTGCTGTGGATGTCAGCAGGTCCACCGTGGGTTGAGCCCCTGATGGCACTGGAGCGCTGAGGCAGTCGCCCACGGAACCATCTGCAGGCTGGCTGCCACCCTGCCCATTGGCAATCCATGATCAAGTGACTGCCCAGCAGATTGGGGAGGGGGATGGAGGAGAGAGCAGAGGGCTCCTGCCTGTTTCTCTGAGAGACCCTTCTAAGTGATAATAGCTAGAGACCCCTGGGCAGCCAGAGTTGGGGGCCAGCCCTTCGCCAGCTTCTGCCTTCCCCAGCTCCCAAGTCCACCCAATACTTGCAACTTTTTGAAAAGGTGTGAGTTATGTGGCCAAGCTCCAGTTGGCCCCTATAGCTTCCACAATGGCTGGGGTCTTTGCCTAGGATCTGCTTCCTCCTCTCTGTGCTGGGCAGAAGATGCACTGGTGGGACAGTGTGTTAAGCATTGAGCTGCTTACTGCAAGGTCGGTGGTTCGAAGCCACCGTGAGAAAAGATATAGGCACTTGTAAAGTCTTATTACCTTGGAAACCCCAGAGAGCACTTTCACTCTGTCCTGTAAGGTTGCCAGAGAACCTGGTGAGTTGGGCTGCGATTCAAATAGTTGGCGGGTCAAAGCCACCAACCCCTCCAGGGGAGAAAGATGGGCTTTCTACTCCTGTAAACAGTTACAGTCTCAGAAACCCACAGGGACAGTTCTACTCTGCCCTCTAGGGTGGCCAAGAGTCGGAATGACTCTGGCAGTGAGTATGATTTGGGTCTACAGGGCTGCTAGCGGGTCCTAGTGGGTTACACACCGGGCTGCTCACCTCGAGGTGAGCAGTTCTATACCAGCAGCAGGAGCAAGGCAAGGTTTTCCACTCCTGTATGGGAAAACACAGGGGCAGTTCTGCTCTGTCCAGTGAGTTTGGTTTTGAGCTTTTGTTGGGATGCTGCCTCAGCTGACTCGGTGGCGGCGGGTGGGACCCTGAGAGGACCCGCGGGCTAGACCACTTGGTGGGAAAGAGGGTCCTGGGCCATCAGCCAGGCCCCTGGCCCTCTGCTTCCCGCCTCTGCAGCTCTGCACCCGGGACAGCGAGTGCTGTGGAGGCCAGCTGTGCGTCTGGGGTCACTGCTCCACAGCGGCCACCAGAGGTGGCAACGGGACCATCTGCGACAACCAGAGGGACTGCCAGTCCGGGCTGTGCTGCGCCTTCCACAGAGGTGGGTGGGCGCCCTGCCCCGAGACACCCACCCCTCTGAGACACCACCCCTCATGGGCTCCTGTCTGCAAGCCCCCTCCTGGGTGGAGGTGGGGAGGGAAAGAGGGAGGGGTACGTGGTCACTGTTTTTGCCATTGCATCAAACCCACCTCAGTGACCCATGGTGTTGCTTTCTGCAGCACACCTGAGCCCAGGGCGGGCAGGGACGCCCCTTGATGGGAAGGTGGGGGCCGCTTACTGCTTCGCCTACCTTCCCAGGTGAGGGCTGGCCAGGCTCTCTCCCCTTTCCCCCTATATTTCTGAAGACTTCCTGGGTTCCCTCACTATCTCCCCAGTCCTGCCCACCCCTCAGCGTCCTCCAGGAAGATGGGTGGGGCTGGAGCTGCCCTGCAGGAGCCCCTGTATCTCCCACTTTAATCAATGTGTGCCTGTGGCCTCTCATGAGCCCTCAGGGCCCCATCCTTTTCTGCCTTCCCACCGCTTCTCTGCTCAAACCACCACCACCGCCTCCCAAGCAGACCCCGCCAGAGTGCCTGGGCTCCTCTCCTTACCTTTTCCAGTCTCCGGTGGCACCTCTTCCAGGCAGCCCTCCCTGACTGCTCTGGCCTCCCCGCTCGCTCCCTGTGGAGCTGCTGCTGCTGCTCCTGTGTCCTCCTGTCCCACCTCTACGAGCCCAGCCCCCAGGGTGGCAGTGGGGTGTGAAGGGCTCACCCCATCTCTGCCCCTCCCCTCCTCTTGGCGTTGGCTCATGGAGGGCCGTCCTGGTCCCAGGCCTGTTGTTTCCTGTGTGCACACCGCTGACTGTGGAGGGCGAGCTGTGTCATGACCCCGCCAGCCGGATACTGGACCTCATCAGCTGGGAGCTGGAGCCCTATGGAGCACTGGACCGATGCCCGTGCGCCACAGGGCTGCTCTGCCAGCCCCACAGGTGAGGCCCCACCGGTCGCCCTTCTCCAGGTGGCACCAGCACCTGAGGTGGCTTCTTGGGGGCTCAGGGCTCAGGGGCTAAAGCAGGATTTGCCTGGGGAAGTGCATGACTTCGGGGTAAGTTGAATTCAGGTGTTGCTGGGATTAGCAGGCTGGAATGTAGGGCTGGGCAGGAAGGCGTGAGACACACCTAGCCCCCTAGCCCGTGGCTCAAGCTGAGAGGGGACTGTGGATGGGCCAGGAGAGGCAAAGGGGAGAAGGGCCGCAGGCCATCAGCTTTGAAGGCTAAGCAGAGGCTGGAGCGGGCAGAGGGTTCCCAGAAGAGGGAGGGGGGAAACCAGCACAGGGGCTCCAATCACACTCACAGGGGCCAAGAGAAGGTCCAGCGGTGAGCACACAGCCCTTGGGCCCCCAGGAACTCTCCCCACCATTCTATCATGGCAGAACCCAGAGGGATGGGCCCAGGGACCTCCTCCCAGCCCTGCTCCCTGTCCACTGGCTCCTGTGGCAGGCGGGCCCCTCCCTGTTGTTGGGGCTGCCTCATGCCCAGAGGCCTAGATGGGCCAGGAGCTCCGAAGGGCATGGGGATGCTGCAAACCCTCAGACCCCGGGGTCCCCGGGCCTGCTTCTGGCACAAGAGTCCGACATAGTCCATTGCAGGGAGCCAGGCCCACGGCCACAGGTTGTAGGGCGCTCTTTTAGAGGTCAGGTATTGACCGAAGAAGTCATGGTTGTTCTCGGGACATGTCAGAGGCGGCCCTGTGGGAGCAGCCCCAGGGGCACTGCAGGCAAAGGGCTCCAGGCCTGGGCCTCCTGCCCAGCGTGGTCCCTACGGGAAGCTGCGGCCTTCCCATGAACTACAGCTCTGTCTCTGCCAGCCACAGCCTCGTGTACACGTGTAAGCCAGAGTCTGGTGAGAGCAGCGAGGAGGACAGCGAGGAGGAGAACCTGCTGCTCAAAGAGGCCCTGGCTGGGGACACCGATGTGGGCTTCATCAAGGAGGTGCGCAGGGAGCTTGAGAGCCTTGTGGGGGACCTGTCCGAGGAGATGGAGGCCGTGGGGCCTGAGCCCAAGGATGGAGACGAGATCTAGAGCCAGTTCTGTCCCGGGAGCCCGTGTGCAATAGAAGTAGCTAACTTATTTTTCCCATCTGTGTCTTCTCGGGGTGGACCGACAGGCTTCTTCCCGTTTCCTCTTTGCCAATTATTTTGTCTGGCTTGGGATGTTTGCGCAGATCCCATGGGATGCTGTGCATATGTCACCCACCCGCACCCTGATGATGTCACCACTGCCACTGTCCTGCTAGAGGACAGGGTGGGAGGACCGAGCTTCTACACTAGGGGGGAGGGGCAACTGGTCCGTAGTGGCTGCCAGATGGATGGCACCTGCTCTTGTGTGCCTACTGAAAGCCGTGGGAGGGAGGACAGGGTGTAGTCTCCCCACACCGGGTTATTGGGGACATGCTGACTCTTACACGGGTGCCTTGCTTTGTGAGCACAAACCTGGCGGAAATGCAGCAGGTAACATTTTCCTGCCGCTCTTTGCTCGGGCATCACCACTGCCGTTCCGCTTTCTCTACGCTCCATGCCCCCATTCAGTTAAGACAGCTCCCTGGGCTCCTACCCCATGGCCCACAGCGTTCTCCTGCCTGTGGCCGAGGTCTGGGGATAGGCCGCCATTCTCATTGGCCAGGGGTCTGGGAGGCTCAGACACCTTGTCTCTTGTCCAGATCACACAGCTTGTGGAGACCATGGCAGGGTCTCCAAGGGTGTGACTACAAGTCCAGGACTCCCCTACTGCACGCCAGCCTCTGTGCCAATGACAGCTCACCCTAAATGAGACAGGAAGGACGTTTTGGGGTTTTTCAGGCAGATCTGGATGACCAACAAGGTGACCCATCCCTATGAGATTAGATGCCTACGACTCCCATAGGGAAACCCTGTCCTGAAGGGTTGCTAGGAATCGGCACCGACGTGGTGGCAGTGAGCTTGTTTGGTTTCTTGGTTAGACATAGATAGCAGTGTTCTCACCAGTGGGGAGCCAGCCCTCATTGTAGAAAAGATGAATGGTCCTGACAGGGCCCCTGTGCTTCTTACGTTATTCACGTGGAAGGAACAGGATTGGAGAACATGCATTAGCTACCTTGTCAGGAACCAGTGGAAAGTTAGGATTACGATGTGCAGAACTGCTTAGCCGCCAGCCACCAGGAGGCCAGCCACTCCGCATGACTCCGCAACCTGCAACCCGGCTGCACTATCCGACCGCTGCCCCCGCCCCGACCGCTCGACCACCGGCCTCACACCTCCGTGCAGAGCGATGACGCGTGGCACACGGCTGTCTAAGCATGCTTTCTCTTGAGATTTAACTTATGTACAAGCACATGTGTTGCATTTAGAAGCATAAATCACTTCAACTGCTCCTGTAGTTCTTGGACTGCTTTATTTTGACTTTGAGTAAACATAAAACCTATGCAAACAGGAAAAATAGAATACTGGCATGGGGGGGGGTGCACTTTTTCCCTCTCTTCTCCAAATAAGTAAAATTTCCAGACGATGGAAACACCCTTCTTTTAGAGTCCAATGATCCTGAAAGGATGACCTGTTTTTTTCGGGGGGG